CCAGCTAACTTGACTTCATAGTCCACCATTATATGTACTGTTCACCGGGAAGGAGTGTACATGCATGCAGAGACCAGAGGACGGCACTGGATGTTCTGCTTTTTCTTTTGAGACATGGTCTCTCCCTAGGTCTACAGCTAGGCTAGACAAAATCCTCCTGTCTCAATAGCCCTGGTGTTACAGTCTAGAGTTGAGGGTATGGCTTTATACACGGGTGAGAAACCAGACCTCATGTTTTCCCAGTTCTTGCCCACTGACCCACCTATACAGACACACACACGCCAGCCCAGATAGGGAAGTTATGTGCAGGATCGGAACAGTTAGTTATTCCTTATGTAGCCTCCTTTTGCCTCTGCAGGTCAAACAGACACTACAGGCAAAGGAGCCATTTGGCTGCTTTTGGGTGATGTTTTCATAGTAATGGCCACTTGGCCTGGAGGGGCCAGATAATAACCAACTTGGGCTCCAAATTTGTCACAATTATACGAACGAAGCTTTGAGAAATAATTATATTTTCAGATGTTCTGGGAATGGAATAATGATGTATATTCAGCTACATCTCTATTAGTTTGAGAATTTGATCTTGAATAATGTCACTTACTTAGCCTTTGTCCCAGCTGATTAATGCTAATGCCCTTAGTTTAGCATCTCACTGACCATAATTTTAGCTTGAAAAGGGACTTCACAGGTATACAAAGCAGCCTTGCTTCTCATATAGGCCTAAGGTAACTTCGTGGGTTCTGGATCATAGGATGGTAAGCTTTATCAATGGAAAGTGTAACCTCTGACTGTAGGCTTAAAGTTTGGTATTGCTCTCATCTGACAAAGTCGTGTTCCTCTTGATCATGTGACCAAGCCATTTGTAAACTTTGTGGCAAATCAGCTCACGTCAGTGAGTCACAGCTGCAGGTGGAAAAGTCTCTTTTACTTAGTTACATCTTTAGACCTTTCTACATATTGAAACCTCATTAAGAATTCTGTTCATCAGGCAGAGGTGGCACACACCTTTATTCACAGCACTCAGGAGGCAGAGGCAGGAGGATCTCTCTGAGTTCAGGGCCAGCCTGGTCTACAGAGTGAATTCCAGAACAGCTAGGGCTACACAGAGAAACCCTGTCATGAAAAAAACAAATAAACAAAAATGAATAGTGTTCATCATCGTGAACACATGTGAGTTTTGTTGACACTATAGTTTTTTTCTTCCCTGGATGTTCAATGGGAGTGAATATGAAAGGATACAAACTACAGATGTGTAGGAGATTCGTGTTGGCACAATGGAGGCTGAGACAGACAGAGACACATGGGCATGGAGTGTGGCATGGCTGAACACATGTGCTTCTGTGGAAAATGTGGTCTTTCTCCAGTTACCCAGTAGTGACGCTGACGGTCAGAGAGCAGCTGTAGGCAGGCACACAAGAGCATACTCTGAGCCCAGTGCTCTGGCAGCCAGCACTTCCCTGCTTCCTGGCTGTGGCTTTAGGTGCTTGTCTGCTTTCTACCCTGGCAGAATCCTAAGGAGATAGAGTACTAAGAATTTGCCTTTTCCTAAGTAGGTGGCTAAGGAAATAGTAAATATGAAACTGCAAGTAGAAGCCACCAGTAATTGTGGAAGGAAAGAAAGCACACATTAGGTTGTTTCCCCGTGAGGTGCTAGGGGAGTGAAGCCTTGTGCATACTAGGTAGGTACTCTTACCACTCAGCTACAACACTTTGGTTTTACAATGGGCTTATAGTAAGTTGCCCAGCTTAGCGTCAGGTGCACATTCCCCTACTGCGGCCCCCTAAGAACCTGGGACAGCAAGTGTGCTCCACCATTTGCTGCATGCATTATACTTCTGATCCTACAGAAGCCCTATATGGTGGTCAGGGCATCAGGAGAGGAGCATCCGTGCTCCGAGGGAGGAAATGGTCTCCAGGAAGGAAGACTGAGCAGGATCACACAGCTCATGGTATTAGCTTATCATATCTAGGATTTTGCAGTGATGAACTAAGAAAGCCTTTATGGCTGACCCGTTTATTCCTCCCTTTGTGATTCATTTACCACTTCTTACCACCACGCACCACTCACAGGGTGCAGGAAACAGGATTCCCGCTTTACAGAGACTCATAGCTCAGCAGAGGAAATAAACAAGTAAATAAAGGTTATCTCAAAGCAGTGATCTGTATAAATTGGCCCGGTCTTTTTAAATTGTGCTACTTGAAAATAACATCTAACTTAATCTCCAGCTGGCTGTCTCGTTGCATGGTGAGACCAGCTACACTGGTCTCACCCTCTGTAGTGGTAACACTGAGATGGACAGAGCCTACCCTATGGCTCCTTTGTGATGGCCACTGACTGATTGCCAGGGTCTTTGTCCTCACTGCTCTTCCTGCCTGATTCCAGGTTGAATTTGTGCCCCAGTGGGCACGAACCATAACAAGAGCAACAGTGAGTTCTTTATGAAACTTTACCATTGTTAGGCTACAATGGAAAGGGGTGAGAGCCATTATCTTGGAGAAGATGTTTGAGCTGTGACTATGCAGAAAAAAAAAATTGTAAATAAAGCTCAGACAGAGGCAGCCTTATAGATGCTAGGTCATAGTCCATTTAGCACAGCCGTAGGTGTGTCCTTCAGACCACATTTCCTTCATGTCAAGCAAAAGCCACTTTCTTGGCCTTGCGTAGGCATTCTTCCAGATGGTTCTTCATGTACAAAATACTATGTTCAGTCTAGCTGCTCAGTATCTTCTTATGTTAAGAAAATAAGAATCAAAAAGTGGAAAAACTGGAGCTTCCAAGTCATTTTTGGTGGCTTTGTGCAGTCATCTTTAGCCTTTCCACAAACAAACCAGTCATAGGTGTTTTATGTATTTGGGGGGTTTTGTTTGTTTGTTTTTCTAAATTAATTTCTGCGTGTGCAACTCATCTCTATCTAGAACTTATCTCTCTAGCTGTAGTTCAAGATTCTTTAACAATTAGAAATAGTTTTTTACTATTTGGCTGTCCAAAGCCTGAAAAATGTGTCAAACCTATGGAGAGCTAAGACACGTTTTACGGTGCCAAAATAAGGCTTGCCATGGAGGTTTGGGATTATGGTAACTGGTGTTAAACTGTCTTGCCCCGAGAATCTGAAAGGAATGGGGGTGGGGGACGTTTTGAGGTCCCCAGCTGTTCCAGGAGATGGGCACTTTTTTTTCCTCCTTTTCCTACCAACTGTTCAGGGAGAGCTGAGTCACGTGGCAGCTAATGCCTCCGATCCCAGGCAACTTTTTGCTCAATAACTGTTTCCCAAATGGCTACTCAGGGGCCTTTCAGAATTCATGAGAGCTGTCAGTTGTTATAGTAACGGGCCCCCTGCTGTCGAGTTGGCCCCGAGATGCCAGTCTCAGCTCTTGGAACACACAGTCATTAGACAAAAGCGGGGAGGGAAGCACAGCTAAAGGTTGCCATTTAAACATGTTTCTTGAGACTTCAAAGACAGCATGGGTTGTGCTGGGGAAGTGCTGCCTGACACAGTTTTAAACGGAGTTCACTCCTTAGGAAACAAACGCTGACTCCTTGGGCAATTGTTGTAGGCTGGGTAAACCATTTTCTTTCAATTGCTCAGAATTCACCACACTCTCTCTCCTTGTGCTCACTCAGGTTACCCTTTGGTTGTTGGAATATTGGTTACTGATTTACGGCATTTGTTTCTCACTACAGTCTTGTCAGTTTATGGGTGGGGGTCTCAAGAGCCTGCGACTGTGTGCGAGGAAAAGCTGCAGAGATAGCAGGCTCTGCTCCAAAATCCCCGAAAGAGTAAAGCTGGCAGAATTCAGAGCAGGGCTAAGGGTTTTTTAAAAGTCTAAATATTGCAGGAAGCTGCAAATTTCAAGTTTTTATGAAAATTTATAAAAACATTCCAACATACTTGGGTTTCTTCGGATTAGTGTTTGCAGCCACACAACGTGTTCATGATGTTTCGGGGACAGTCATTGTAGTGACAGAACAGTCTCAACAGAGGGAGACAGGAAGTTCTGGACGCCCACAGCCCCTCCCCCCTTCAACCTTGTTCCCAATCAAGTTCTACTTTCTCCAAGGTTGGCTCCTATGGCGAGCACTTTTGTGTAACAGTCAGTCCAGTACTGACCAAGGTAACTTGGAGCTTGTTTATGACAGGAAAGGGAAAACATTAACACTAGGAAGCTAGAGGTGTTTGTTCCCAGAAGGAAGCGGTTGCTAAGAGGTAAACAGTGTCCCTGACCTTGGGTTTCTGTGCAGGGATCCCACTAAAGAGAAGGTTATTTATTAGAGTTTATCTTTCCAGAGACTTAGAATAAGGATCATTTCAGTGTGAAATCCTACAGCCCGGGTGGCTTGGGGCCACCAACTATGATCAGCCACCTGAAAGTGTTTGCATTTGTCAGAAAGTGCATCCTTCGCATAGACAGGCAGCTCTCAGATGCTGAAGTATTTAAATGTTGAAGAGACTCTACATAGAGCAATAACTTGCCAAGTACTGGCCCTGTCTGTCTGCAGTGCCTTCGATGTAAAAGTGATTATCCAGAAGTGACAAGAACACACACTGAAAAGACAAAGCCCCTGATCTGCCTAATGCAGAGAAATTGGTGGCAGAAGGCAGGCCACGTGATAGACACTGGGCAGTGGAGACCCAGCAAGTTCTGGGAATTCCTATACTCTTCGGAGCTGTCTGTTTGCTGGGACAGTGTGCCAGCAGAGGTGAAGAGCGGACATCTGGATGAGGTCATGAGTGTGACCCCCTGACTTCTACCAACATAATGCCACCTTTGGATGCATAAACCATTGCCTTGAAGAACAAACCTGCCTGTGTTTCTTGCCTTAGCACTGAGACCTCCCTAACACTGGCCATTTTTGCCCATGAGTTTCCCCTTTTGAAAATGTCACAGATGAAGCCTTGCTAGTAGGGATGTTTGGAGGGAGGGCTTTGGTGTGCGACGCTGGGTGGCCAATTGAAATACTGTCTTCTACACATGTTCTCTTTTGTCTTTTGTCCATTTAGAGGGTGTAACAAAATAAAGTCCCAGGGCTTTCCCAGACGTTCCCGTGAAGTGCCTTCTTCTGGGGAGAGAGGCGAGAAGGGGAGCAGGTGAGGGCGGCCCAGCGTAATGGGGGAGTCTCAATGGCTGGGACTGGCTTGCGGAACTTCTGTTTTGTTGCTGTGGGGGTGGAAGTCTTCTAGAGAGAAAACGCTGATGTTCACGCGTTCTACCACATGCAGTAAGATCTATAAAGACCAGTGGTGCCTCCAGGTAGCCGCTGTCCATTGCAGCAGCTCCAGCGCGTGCTTGCTTTGCTTTTTTTCTGTGGGCTGGGCCGTATTTTCTGTCTTCATTGGTAGTACTGTGGGCACGCTATGTTTGCGTGTCTGTGTGTATGTTGCATCCGTTTTCTTTAAAAAAAAAAAAAACCTTCAGATCTTGCATGTTTAAAGCTTTGTTTTTTTTCAAAAGAGCATAATGCATGTTTAGAGCTTTGTCTTTTCACAAAAAGCATAATCCTTATGAATGAAAAGTATCTCATTTCATAAATAAGGGGTTAAAACCAGGGAAAAGACAGAAAATTGACAAATGTGCTTTTCCATAAAGAAGTAAGTGTGCATGAATATGAATTCTTAATACTCTGAGTACTAACCTGAAGAATTTTATGCAAAACAATTAAAAGTTGTAAATGTAGTCTTAATTACTGTACTTGAAACTCTTGAGAATATTTACATAAGCCTTATCTCCCATAAACTGTTTTAAATTAATAATATTATAATACTAAATTATTAAGTAGGGTAGTTAATCGACCTGGGTCATAAGTAGTACCTTTTTGCCTTCAGTAAACCAATTTATAAAACTTATATCTAACACATGGAATGGCTTTGTCTCTGTTGGTTGTAGTAGATGAAATTTCAGGTCTATTCCCATAATAATCAAGCTGTAATGCCTGAGGAGGGATTTTGATAGGTTACTGAGAAAGCCCATGGCTGCCTGTCTTATGCTGCACAGTTCTGGCCCTGCACTTGGCTCGTGGACACTGGTGATGTCATTATTCCTATGATCTTTTTTTTTTTTTAAACTATTGAAGTTTTTGATTTCTAGTATACTTTCAAAACAATTTTTTAAAAAATGGAACCAGAAACCTCTCTTTTTAGCTTTAAATTCAAAAATCTTACCTTAAAAGAGAGGGGTCTATGGACATCACGTGAACAGTTGTTATGCCCAGTCCATGATGACATTTCTTCCGTAGACATCACATGAACAACTGCTAATACCCAGTTCCTGATGACATTTCTTCCACATACATCACATGAACAGTTTTTATACCAAGTTCCTGATGACATTTTTTTGATGGACATCACTTAACCCAGTTCATGATGACTTATCTTCAACTGAAATCACATGAACAACGCTTATGCCTGGTCTGTGATGGCATTTCTTCCTGTCGTCCTTTAAAGAACCAGCATGCCTTGTGTACAACACAAAGGTCGTCCAACCTCTAGGGCTCGAAGACACAGTACTCAGACTGTGCCTGGCCTTGAGTAGGGACGTAGAGGTGGTTCAGGCCTGTGCGCTTCAATGAGTAGATGCATCATGTCTGGGCTTTGTTACAAGAAATCTGATACTTCTCTACCTAAGACTGAGGGGAATGTGTCAGTTCCACCTAGGTCCAAGCTACAAATCATCTTGAGGACCCACAGGCATATAGGGGCTCTGTCTTATCTGCGAGTTGCCCGGTATAAAATGCAGTTTTTTTAAAATAGTGTGGCTACGAACACAGACCTTGACTCAGAGACCTGTGGTTTGTGATGTTAGTTCTACCACTTCCTGGCTCTCCAGGGATCTTCAGGGATCTCTTTGAGACTCAGTTTTTTTTTTCCATCTAGATAATGGGTCTATTGAGAACTCTTCTTCATAGACTGGCCCTAAAGATTAGATTAGGCAGCATGTATGACCTTCTCAGTTATTACCCAAGAAGAGGGAGACATGAAGGCTCTGAGAAGGTAAGTGACTTGGCCAGGCAGTCCTGCTGACCTGGGGCCTGCAGTCAGGCAGCTGGATCTCAAGCAGGTCCTTTGTTTCCTGCTCTGTGCTGTGTTCCCTAAAGAAGAGCTGGACCGATAGAGTCTCTATCCTCAGGGGCTCAAGGCTTCCTGCTCTTCTTGCCGATGTGATTCCTCCAAAGCGTACAGCTACCCAGCCCCTGGTGTGTTCTGAATGCTTACGGTCCCTAACTCACTTGCCCTTACACTGCACCCACGCGCCTCAACTACCGCCCCAGGTCTATACGAATAGTTCTCTGGTGCACAGGCTGCCACCTCTTCCAAGCTGCTGTTGGAGGCTGGAATACAGTAGGACAAGCAGCCTCTACCAGCCTCCATGTCTACATCGCCCCCTCCTCTCTCTCATCTCTTCTCGTGGCCTGAGAGAAGAGAAGCCTCAGAGATGCCGAAAGGGTAGCACTCCACACAGTTGCCGTAGCTGCACGACCCTGATGTGGCATCAGCCTTCTCCCCCAGCTTTCTACAGTGCTTTCCATAACTATTCTTTTATGGACACAAGACAGGACCAAGCCTCTGAGGCCCCAGATCATGAAAGGTGTAGGCTAAGGACAAAACTATAATAAACAGACTCAGGTATTAAAGTTAAAAAAAAAAAGTTGGCTTAAATTTTGAATAAGTAGTATTTTACATCATCTAAAATAATAAACTTTAAAGTCATATATACCCTCACAGTTCCATCAGCCTGCCCTACTCCCCACTTCCTCACAAATAGGTGGTCATCTTTGCTAGTTTATGTATTATTCAAGTTATATATCTAAACAAATAGGGATATCTCTGTCACCTTTGTTTGCGACAACACAGTTTTCTCTAGGCATCTATAGATCCTCTATTCTTTTTGTGTGTGGGGGGGGGGGTTAAGATAGGCATACCATGATCTATTTGAACAATCCTCCAAGGCTGCCGATTTTCTGACAGCACAAGACTACACTGAATAGCTTTGTTAATGTGTCATTTTGCACATGGGTGAATACAGCGGCAGGATGAACTCAGGAAACTGGTGTCATCGCGGGCGGTGCTTTGCTAGATGGCACCACACCGCCCTCCACCTCTGATTCTGAGGGGCTTCCCTTAGCAGCATGTGTATCTGCTGGGCACCACGACCTTTTTGCTGAGTCACTAGACATGTAGCAGTAATGTCAGCATACTCCCAGTGTGCTGCCATTTTACTATAAATAAGATCGAACCACCTGGTTTTCTCCTCTGCACTATTTGTCGAAAACAGTGGTTCTCAACCTTGCTAATGCTGGGACCCTTTCATACAGTTCCTTGTGTTGGTGACCCCCAGCCATAAAATCACCTTTATTGGTTGTACTTTTCCTAGCATTATGAATTGTAATGTAAATATCTGATAGTCAGGACATCTGATATGTGACCCTTATGGAAGGTCACTCAGTCCCCAAAGGGGCCATGTCCCACAGCTTGAGAAACGATGCTTTAAATAGTCTCTTCAGATGGAGAAACTTGTTACAAAGTTCTTGTGTGGGTGCTTTTCTTTTTTTAATCATAGTCAGTTCTTGATCATTGGAAATTTCAACTGGATGACAGTGACGTGTTTTTGGAGACCTCGTCCCAAGTTTCACAAGTACTGCTGCAATGGGGAAATTCAGTGAAAAAGTACATTGCACCTTCTTAGATCCTGAAATATGAAGGCTATTGAGAATATTACAGCAAGCCAGACATGGTGCTGCACACCTTTAATCCCAGCACTGAGGAGGCAGAGGCAAGTAGATATCTGAGTTCGAGACCAGCCTGATCTACATAGTGAGTTCCAGGACTATGTAGAGATCCTGCTCCACAAAGCCAAACAAAAACATAAGAACATTACAGTAAAATAGTCATTATGTTTAGGAAAGAAGCAGTTAGCAGACCATTTTAGATGGTACCTCAGAAAGATGATGTGTGTTCCTCCCCTCCTACTTGAACTGGTCTAGACTTCAATGATGCTCTTAACTGCCTCATGTCAGTAGGTCTGGCCTCGGTGGTGAGCACCTGGAGCCTTTTCCTGGGTGCTCAAACATTCCAGGCTAGAGTGCAAAGGCACAGCAACTGCCAAAGACCCTGGTGTCAAGCCATTCTTAGGTCTCCACTGAGTCCTGCAGATGAACTGTGAGGGTCTCATTTCCTTGGACGTGGCTGAAATGTTGAAAAGAGCATGCTTGGGTTACTGGGTGTGGCTTAGGGATTGACCCTGCTTCCTGTTCCTGGAAAGTCACCCCTTCCCAGCAGTCATCTCTATGGAGCTGCAAAAATAATGTCGAGGGAGAAAAACTTTTATCCTGAGGCGACGTTTATGTCTGCAGTTTGTTCAGTTCCTCCCATTATTTACAGAAAGTCACTACAGGCGTCTGTATCATCCAATGACATCCTCACTGTAGAAATCACTTTGTAGAAATCACAAAAAAAAAAAAAATCATTTTTTTGCCACTTTCACTTGTAGCAGGAATGAATTAGGACATTGTTGCTATCCACATAAAGGCCCAAATATCTGGGAAGATTTTTCTCCTCACTTAATGTCTGCAGTCCCTCTCCTGTCTATCCATCTTTTGGGTGTTTTTTCTCTTTTCTCTCCCTTTCTTTCCCTCCCCTTTCACACTGCACACTCCACTTGTCCAGAGTGTGTCAACCACATGTCCAGGAATCCCAGCAGCCCTGATGTGAAACATGCCATTTTAATATTCCCCCAAAGCACTTTCTGATTTGTCAGATTTTGTGTCCCCTTTCATGGCTTAGAAAATATGCCAACTAGAAGCATATTTTGGTTTCTGAATCTTTCATGCTGGAAGAGCCATTCTGGAGACTGCACTTGTATAAACTTAGCTGCATAAACCGGATCACTTAACAGGCAGTAAGGACAACTTAACGGCAAGTGAGTTGTTGTGTATGAAAAAATCTCAACTTAGAACTGAGTCGGGCTGCCTTCCAAGCTGGGCCGGGAGTAGCTTCAGGCAGACACTCCTGAGGGAAAGCCCGGCGATATGCACAGCCTTTCCCTTTTATTGTTTGTCACTTCTGTTTCTGGAAACATTTTGCCCTAATAAATC